TAATTTAAATAGAAATAAAACTAATTTCGGGAAAACAATTGCAAAATATGTGATGTCACACTAGGAAGGGGGGGAGTCTCACAAATGTGACCAGCTGTGACAAGGACGGGGAGGGGTGAAATTCGTATTATCTAATTTATGGTTGGCCCCTTTACTAGATTTTAATACTATTTATAAAACAAAAGAAACTTTACCACTGTTTGAAAAAAGGGATCTACCAGAATGTTTACTATTAAATAAGTTACTGAGGACCTAAACATGTCGATAGGCTCCTGTCTTTTGATTTTTACCAATGATTTGGGAATGAGACGAGTCACCGCGAAATTCGTACCAAATTACTCAATTTCGACCAAAAACAGCTTCGCATTAACATTGCTAAGGAGCTGTTGGATTCTGTTAGCGACGATCCAAATCTGCTCCAGAGGGTCATAACTGGTGACGAATCATGGGTTTATGGTTATGACGTGGAAATCAAGGCTCAATCGTCCCAATGGAAGCTGCCACATGAGCCAAGACCGACAAAAAGCGCGCCAAGTTAGGTTGAATGTGAAGGTTTTGTTTACAGTTTTCTTCGATTGCAAGGGCGTGGTGCATAATGAGTTCTTGCCACAGGGTAGAATGGTCAATAAGGAATATTACCTAAAAGTTATGCGCAATTTGCGGGAAGCAATCCGCCAGCAACGCCGGGATTTGTGGAAGAACAAAAATTGGCTTTTGCACCATGACAACACCTCTGCTCACACATCGTTGCTTGTGAGCGAACTTTTGACCAAAAACAACACACTAATAATGCCGCAGCCACCGTATTGTCCAGATCTGGCCCCCTGTGACTTTTTCTTGTTCCCGAAACTGAAGAGGCCCATGAAAGGACAACGCTGCGCTACGATTTAGGAGATAAAGACGGCATCGAAGGAGAAGATGAACAAGACCACAAAAAATTATTTTTTGAAGTGCTTCGAGGATTGGAAAAAACGTTGGCACAAGTGTATAATATCTGGTGAGGATTACTTTGAAGGGGGCAAAATAGATATTCATGAATACACAAATAATTTTTGAAAAAACACAAAATTAGCGATACTTTTTGAATAGACTTCGTATATCATCAAGAGTTTACCAAGACAAAGACCGAATAAGCAAGACAAATACTGTTCTAGTCTTGTTACTAATTATTACCAATACAGAACAGTGAAAACATAAAATAATACATTTTTTCCATCCTGAATTACCGTACCTTCCCAGATAACGCAAATCGGCGACTTCTTCTAGTTTTTAGACTTCAATTTTTATATTAACTCTATAGTCCTTCCACACACTTTTATTAATACCGCTTTCACCGTCCGAATAAACTTTTTAGTGTGTAAATATCACGTCGTTTTTCTTTTTGATTTTAAAGAACTGGCCACCAATAAAAGTGGTAGCGAATAAACGGCTCGTTTTGTGATAAATTACGCCATAAACACCTTATAAAATGAATGTAAAGTTACTATAAAGTGTAACATTTGTGAAATTCTAAATGGCCTTAAAATAAATAAACAGCTACGGCGGGAACATTTCAAAGATTTTCATACTCGCTTTAGTGCATCTTGTTGGCAGGAGACGACTGGTGCAATATTCATAGAAATCATAAAGATTTTATTATTGTTATTTTTACATCGGGTTTTTACTATCCTACACATAAATGGGAATTTTTGGGACGGAAAAAGAATCTTCTCTGATGTTGGAAGTCAGTGAGTGCGTAGGATTTTCATATATGCTATAGTTATTTTTATTATTGTGCATTAAATCATCCGAAGGCTTACCGCTAACGAAAATTCGAATTAATTATGTAACTGCATTTTTACGCCATCAGTAGCATCATATAGCAGTATTAGCATCTGGCAAGGAGGAGCTAGATTAGATTTAAGACTACAAATAAAATGAAAGCGGTACAGACAAAACAATTTGGCATCATCATCATCATCATCATAAGGTCGTCAGTCTTAAGACTGGTTGGACACGTACCTCCACTCTTTCCTATCCTGAGCTAATCTTCGCATTTCCTTTAAACTAGAACATCCCATATCCTTAACTATTTGCGAACAGTAATCTAATCTAGGTCTACCTCTACCCCTCCTAACTCCTGTTTCTGTCTCTAATATGTCTTTGACTAGACCTTTATGCCTGAGAAGGTGGTATTTCTTATTGACTTCCATAGAGTCCACTGTTCTCCTATTCTTTCTAATATCTCTTCATTTCTAACCTTCTCTATCCACGGTATCCTCATCATTAGCCGATAACATCACATTTCGAACGCTTCTAACCTTTTCTTTTAAGCCGCGTCAACTGTCAATGTTTCGCATCCGTACAGCGCCGTGCTCTAAACATACACCTTTAACAACCTTTGTCGAATTTCTAAATTAACCGTTCACGAGCATAGAAGTGACTTCTTTTTATTGAAGGTTACTCGACCCTGCGCTATCCTCTGCTTTATATCGCTACTACTCCTTTCGTCCTGACTTATCTGACTTCCTAGATACCTAAAATCGGCCACTTCTTCTAATTTTTCGTCTCCTATCTTTATATTCGCTTTTTCCCTACTTTTCCTTCCCTTGCATGCCAGTATTTTTGTTTCACTTTTATTTATTTTCATACAATACTGTTTTGTCAATACCACTTCCTTTTTATTTAAAGCTATCTCTAACTCCTCCTTGCTAGATGCTAATACTGCTATATCATCTGCAAATCTACACATACTAATCTTTTGCCCCTGTATATCTATCGCGACAGTTGTACTGTCTTTAATGATGTTGATCGCATCTTCGATGTATAGATTAAACAATAATATTGGTACGCAAGGGAAAGAGTTAATATAAAGGTAGGAGACGAAAAATTAGAAGAAGTGGCCGATTTTCGGTATCTAGGAAGTCAGATATAAAACAAAGGAAAGCGCTGGATCAAGCCGCCTTTAACAATAATAAATCACTTAAGAAATTCGAAAAAGATTGTTAAAGTTGTATGCCTAAAGGATTTCATTACTGTTAAGGACGCGAGATGTACTAGTTTTAGAAAAATGAGTACCTTCTTATGAGACCTTTCAAACGATATTCCACACGACACTTAAAAAAAAATAAATAAAAAGCTATTTCCTATGAAAATACGACATTCTGGAATTAGATGTCTAGTAAAACGTCTAATTGAAAGATGAGACCCCGCCTTAGTCTAACTTCGCTTTCCATTTCCATTTTTAATTTGAATTTTTAATAAAAACAAAATAGCTTGTCCGCAGCTACTACAACCGTGTTTACTATACGGTATACCACATACAGCAGCATACTGACCTCCGTGCGTGGCTGCTTTCAATGGCGACCGCAAGTGGCGATTGTGTGAACTGTGTACTAGTATTCGAGACTTATTACACGAACTACGATTCGTTCATAAATTTATCACTAACGAGTAAAGATATTATTTGTAATATTGCAACTTACATGCGAATGTGATAGAAGTTCCTTCATGATGAAATTATCGTAAATATCTCGGGCCTGTTTCATACGGTCTTCGACATTCTCCATCTTCTCGTACGCCTTAATCTGAAACCAAAAGGAAAGCAATAGTAAAAACTACATATGTACATGCGTATGCAAATATCACAAAACAAACATTTATCACTCGCTCTCGTTTATTTATGAAAATAGAACATTTACTAACACATATGTACATATACATATACAGCTTAAACGGTACTTAAGTAAAGGAGGGGAGAAATCATAGCACCCCACAGAAAAATATGTTAGAGTAGGGTCTATTGAGTATCCGGATCTGATCCGGATTTATTAGAGACCTCCTATTATGGTATATTATACATATATGGCCTTAATCGGATACCATTATGCATGATCTTATCCTAATGGTGATGCCCTATTACGACTGATGCAGTCCTCATGTGGATACACTATTTCAACCTTTTAACGATATTTCCTGATATTAACTTAATGCTGATGTCCTATTTGAACTTATTTACATCATGCCCTATTAAGACTGACGTGGATACACTATTTCAATCCTTTAACGATATTCCCTGCTTGGCTTAATCTCATCTTAATAGTGACAGTCTATTTGAACCCTTTACAGTTTACAGCATGCTCTATGAAGACCGATATCGCCCCGACGTGGATACACTATCTTAATCCTTTAACGATAAGCCTTGCTAAGCTTGATCGGATCCTAACAGTGATACCCTACTTCAACCCTATACAGTTTACAGCATGATCTATTAAGACCGATATCGCCCTAGTGTCGATACACTATTTCAATCCTTTAACGATATGCCCTGCTTGGCTTAATCTCATCTTAATAGTGACAGTCTATTTGAACCCTTTACAGTTTACAGCATGCTCTATGAAGACCGATATCGCCCCGACGTGGATACACTATCTTAATCCTTTAACGATAAGCCTTGCTAAGCTTGATCGGATCCTAACAGTGATACCCTACTTCAACCCTATACAGTTTACAGCATGATCTATTAAGACCGATATCGCCCTAGTGTCGATACACTATTTCAATCCTTTAACGATATGCCCTGCTTGGCTTAATCTCATCTTAATAGTGACAGTCTATTTGAACCCTTTACAGTTTACAGCATGCCCTATGAAGACCGATATCGCCATGATGTCGATACACTATTTCAATCCTTGAACGATATGCCCTGTTGGGCTTAATCTGATCTTAATAGTGATGGCCTATTTGAACTCTCTACACCATGCCCTATTAGGACTGATATGACCCTGATGTGGATACAGATACACTATTTTAAATCTTTAACGATATGCCCTCTTTAGTATCTTAATTTTAATCCTTTAACGATATGCCCGACTTAGCTTGATCGGATCCTAATACTGATGGCTTGTTTTTGAAGTCTTTTCCATCATGCTTGTTCAAGATTGATATGATTCTGAAGTAGACACATTTTTTCAATCCTTTAACGATATGTCATATTTAGCTTAATCTTATCCTAATTTATGCCCTGTTTGAACCCTTTTATAGCATGCTTTAATAAGAATGATGACACCGTAGTGTTGATAGGGATACACTACTTCAACCTTTTAACGATATGCCCTACTTAGCTTGATCTAACCCTAATGGTGATGTTATATTTGAATCTCTTCACAGCATGCCCTATTAGGACTGATGTGGTGCTGTTGACGCTGCACTATTTCAACTTTTTAACGATATGCCTTACTTAACTTGATCTGATCCTAATACTGACGCCTGATGACTAATGCGACCCTAGTGGATACTTTATTTAAACCGTTTCAACTTTTTAATGATGTTGTAATTACCACGTTTCACTGTATTAATTACAAATATGTTAATTATGAATGCACAAGTTTTTAATTCAGCAAATCCGACAGGCTTTTAATATGATCTACAGGACACCTTCTATGCACCAAAACTAATAGGATTCGCCACCTCTCATGCTCTAATAAATAACCAATGGCCTACTTAATGTGTGAAAGATATGCCAGTAAGTGTTAATTCTCATTATCACGAGACGCATCCGAGAAGCGTCGCGACGAGTTGTTCGTGCAAGACGTAAGCACGCCTTGTGTTGACGTTCAAGGTTACGTCGCATCGATATCAACACATGAGGAATTTCTGAGAAACAAATTTGAATTTATCATTCCCGTATGCAAAAAGGACGTTACGCTGTTGGCACACACCGCCGCCGTCGTCGCGTTCTCATCTATTCCCTGTGACCATGGAAACGTCCGTATTGCCGTTCGTAAAACTGGGTTGTTGTTAAGTTGTTATCGCAGGAACATGCTGGATAACGATATGCGTGGGATTTTATTAAAACTGACGTTTGCCGGAAGAACTTTTACGGTATACATATGTACGTACGTCATCTAATATGTATAGTAAAAGGAATTTTAGTCGAGGAGTTTTTGCATAACGAAAATTCTTACGTTGAAAAGAATCTGCTTATAAATCACAAAAACAATAAATAAACGTGGATGAGGTATCGCGGGCCGCAGAGAAGCACCTTATAATTAGGAAGGAATAGATGAAGGGGTCTGAAACAGCAGAAGGAGCGGGGTGAAGCCCTGGCTGACGATGACAAGATGGTTGACGATGATAGCTGTCAATATGGTTGACAATGACAGCTGTCAAAGATGGCTAACGATTAGAGCAGCCAAGATGGCTGACGATGACAGCTGTCAAAGATGACTGACGATGAGAGCTGTCAAGATGGTAGACGATGACAGCTGTCAAAGATGGCTAACGATTAGATCTGCGAAGATGGCTGACGATGACAGCTGTCAAAAATGGCTAACGATTAGAGCTACCAAGATGGCTGACGATGACAGCTGTCAAAGATGGCTGAAGATGACAGTTATCAAAGATGGCTGACGATATCAGCTGCCAGGATGGCTGACGATGAAAACTGTCAAGGATGACTGACAATAACAGCTGGCAAAAATGGCTGACGACAACAGCTACCAAAGATGGCTGACGATAACAGCTGTTGTAGGAAAGTGAGTAGGAGAACATTCACGGAGGATTCTAGTTCGGTGTTATCCGATGGAATACCAGGAAAGTGGATTAAGGAAGTGACCGTGACCGAGGTAATAGGCGTAAAAATGTGTAAGCGGACGGGATGTAGGAAAGGGTCACTTTCTGTAATTAGGTAAAAGCGTGGTTTCGAATAGTATCAACTGAGAGAGTACACAATAGTATAGGTTCGAACAGGATTTGTAAAGAATTTAAAAAGAATGGACGAGTTTGAAAGGAAATGTATAAGTTAAAAGTACACAAAAGAAAAGTGAAATCTGAAAACAACGAAAAGACCACTATTGAGAGTAGTAGATGAAAGGAACAGTTTAGACGTAAGTTATTGGAATTGAAAATAGAGATCTTTAATAATTGTGAAAAAGGGTAGAAGAGAAGTAAAAGTTAGAAAGCGAAGATTCCAGAAATATACATGATAGAATTAGATAGGAAGATAAAAGTATACACGAAAAGACAAACAGATTTAGATTGCAGAAACACAAAGTATACAAGACTTGACAGGGGCGATTGTAGCAATAATCGCCACATAATGTTTATAAACATTATAGGTTCGTTTCAACGGTGTCAACCCAACCGGTGGTTGTTGGTAAGGGTGGTACATAATGGAAACCTCGCCATAACAAAGACATGAACGCATGAACCATTAACCGTAGCACTCGACACAGCTAATGCCGTGTACACGGTTATCCGGTGTCAGTCAGTGTGAATTACCTATTTCTCCTGTAATAATATTTTACCGGATCGAGAACGGTCTTACAGTGGGAATCAAGCCTAAACGATAATATCACTTATATTCCAAACACATAAATTTGAGAATTGTTCCATACAATTTCCTCAAATGACTTTCTTTTTTATTGCAGTTAATCTTTTCTTTTTCTTTTTTTTTAAAAAAAGAAGCGATCGTTTAAATACGTCTGACTAAGAACCAACTGCTGTTTTCATTTCTCCGGTTGCTATCGTAAAGGCTTCAATAATGAAGTCGTTCATGTTTTCGTTCCATTTCTCTGGAAAACAAGCGGCGCTATCAAAGATTAATTGGATCGTCTAATTAGATTTCTAACATTAAACAGTCACTCCGTGTAACCAAGAGGATTTTCTCTTTTCTGACAGCGACGAATAAAATTTTTTACGATTGGATTGTTTTTTTTTTAACCACTGACATAAATTTTTATTGCTTTTTTTTTATTCTGTTCGAACGTTAATAAGTCTGGAAGATTATGCTTCGTTTGTTTCATGAAAACGGATTCGTTACAAAATAAAATGAGGTACAAAATACGCCCTGTTACAATGTCTACGAATAATAAATTAATTACTGGACACGTGTTGAGAATTAAACTTTACATATTAACTGTAAAAAGTGATCAGAATAAACCGATGATATTTAATTCAACGAATGAATATCGTCCTTAAAAAAAATCAATTAGAAGCAATCTGAAACGGGTGAAATATTCTTTATTGATTACGTAATCTCCACCGACGTTTCGTTTTTCAATCTAAAACTTTATCAAAATAGATTACTTAGTTAATTAATTGTATTAGACGGAGACATTCGAGTTTTCTTGTATAATTACTCGAGATATTCGAAGTCAGTTATGTATAAGTTTTTTAAGTAATTTCTAATATAACATTCAGGAAGATAGTACATGGGATTTCGTCCATAAATATCAGAATAAAAGTAGTGTATATTATGTGAACCTTTCATCTTCATAAAGTCGTCAGTCCTAAGACTGGTTGGACACGCATCTCCACTCCTTCCTATTCTTCGCATTTCCCTTAAACTATAGGGTTGTTCGAAAAGTCATTTCGTTTTTTTTTTGTGGAAATGAAAGACAGTTTTCGTATAATAAACAAATACTTTATTAAATTACATATTGACGGTTCTGGTCCAACACCTTTTGCCATCTTTCTGGTAGTAGCATAATTCCACGCTCATAAAATTTTTGGTCTTTGCTGGCAAAAAACTGATCGAGGAAGTTTTTGACCTCCTCATTTGAGGTGAAGGTTTTACCGTCTAAAA